GATGAAGTCGGCGATAGCCTGTCCCTTAATTGTTGTTCGAGGCCGGTAAGAGATGTCAAACTGGCTGAGTTCCACAGACCACTGCATAAGTCTGCCGGAAAGTTCTGGTTGCTGCATGACCTTCTTCAAGGGTTGGTCGGTGAGGACCACTATGGAATGGGCTTGGAAGTAAGGATGAAGTCGTCTGGAGGCGGTGACCAAGGCCAAGGATAATTTTTCTAACAGGGGGTAATTCTGCTCAGCGCCCCTGAGAGCCCGACTGATGTAGTAGACCGGCCGTTGGACAGAATTGTCTTCCTTGATAAGAGCTGCACTGACTGCGGTGCTTGAGATGGCTAAATAGAGGAAGAGGGACTCGCCCGTAATCGCTTGTGAAAGGAGGGGTGGATTGGCCATGCACTGCTTTAACTGCTGAAAAGCCTCTTCAGATTCAGCTGTCCATTCAAAAGTTTTGCCGAAGAACTTTGAAAAACGGTAGGCACTTATCTGTTGCGCGGGAAATGAAACGGTTGAGGGCTGCAACTCGGCCAGTGAGCCTTTGAATCTCCTTGACCGTCCTGGGTGACTGCATCTCGACCAAGGCCTTGATCTTTTCAGGGTTAGCTTCAATGCCCCGCTGACTGACCATAAAACCCAGGAACTTCCCGGATCTTACGCCGAAGGCGCACTTCTCTAGGTTGAGCTTCATTCGGTATTTGCGTAGGGTGGCGAAGGTCTCCCGCAGGTCGGTCAGATGGTCAGTGGAGAGTTTGCTCTTGACTAGCATGTCGTCAAAATGTACATGTCACAAATGAGTGTGTTGATCTAGAGTCAATTAAAACAAAGGCATCCTGATTACATATTGAAATAATACCTGAGTGGCATGCATAGTATAGCTCCTTTGCATTTGAGTTTGTATGCTTCAAGTATGTGAATGTGTAGAATGTGTTTCTTGCATCATTTTGGTGGTTTGGAACCACCCACCATGTCATTCTAGTCCTTTTAGCATGCCTAAATGTTTTCATTTTGTGGTCCTTTTGTTGCTTCAAGAGTTGGTACTCCATGCTTCATATTTGTGCCATGATGTATACCTCTAGGATTAGGTTGGCGGGGTAGAGGATAGCTGTCTTTGGGGCAAGCTCGGTTCAGGTCAGAGTAATCGACACAGAGTCGCCATTTGCCATTGTTCTTGCGGACGAGGACCACGTTTGACAACCATTTAGGGTAGTCGACATTTTTGATGAATTGGGCCTCAAGGAGTTTGTCGACCTCTACGGCTATAAGAGTATTGCGCTCCGGATGAAAGGTGCGCTGCTTCTGGCGGTAAGGTCGGAAATGAGGTTCAATGCTGAGGCGATGAGTTATGAAAGAAGGGTCGATGCCTGGCATATCTGAATGAGTCCAGGCGAATACATCATTGTGCTCGGTCAAAAGGGTAGTAAGGTCGGCCTTAGCTTGGGGGGATAGCTGGCTGCCGATCTTAGCAGTTTTCATTGGGTTGGTGGGATCGATGGGAATCTCAACGAGCTCCTCCACCGGTTCGCCCCTGACCAGCTCGTCTTCATCTCGGGCGTCAAGTCCTTCAATGATCATGGCCTCCTTCAGCTTGACTTCCTTGAGTGAGGCGACATAACATTCCCTGGCTATGGTCTGCTCTCCCCATACTGTCCTGACCCCCTAGTCGGTGGGAAACTTTATGGCGAGGTGGTAGGTTGAAGTGATAGCTTGGAAAGCGTTGAGGGCGGTGCGACCGAGGATGATGTTGTAGGCAGAGGGACAGTCGACCACAAGGAAGGTGAGCAACTTGGTAGTTTGCCGTGGGTATTCGCCAATAGTGATGGGGAGGTCGATGGAGCCGATGGAGGTCACCCGATCGATAGTGAAACCGACCAAGGGGGTTTGGAGGGGGGACAGGCTTTCCTCCCCAATTTTGAGCTGGCGGAAGCAGCTGAGGAATATGATGTCTGACGAACTGCCGTTGTCGATGAGAACCCGTCTGACCTTATAGTTGGAGAGAAGGGCAGAAATGACGAGGGGGTCATCATGAGGATAACGGATGCCTGTACAATCGGCGTCCGTGAAGGTGATGGGCTCTGTCCACTTCTTGGGCTGCTTGGAAGGTCGGTCTACCGTGTCCACTGCTTTGTCCGAGCCTTGCCTTATTTTCCTGAGCTCTACCTTCTGAGTGGAGCGGGATGGTCCGCCACAAGCAAGGCCACCAGAAATGACTCGGATTTCACCAACTGGAGGAGGGGGAATCCCTGGGGGCCGAGGCTGTTGTGGGAGGGGGTCATGGCCTTGGTCAGGTTGGGCTGGCTGCCGAGGTGGGGTACGTCGGCGGTTGTTCCTGAGGTGCTCGGTTCTTTGCCTTTATTGTGGGCGGGTGTCCGTGAACCGGCTGAGACGCCCTTGACGAATAAGAGTCTTGACCTGATCCTTGAGGTTGATGCAGTCATCAGTGTTGTGGCCGTGGTCCTGGTGGAAGCGACAATATTTGGACTGGTCTTTCCGGTTGGAAGGGATCCGTGAAGGCAGGGGCCATTTGAGGGCGTAATCCCGTTGGATTTGGTGGAGGACTTGTTCCATGGGAGAATTGAGGGGCGTGCACCGCTCGAACCGACCGGGCGGTCGGGCTGGTGCCGACCGGTCAGTTTGAGGAGGTCGGTTGGGATATTGGGGTGTTTGGCTGTTATACTGGGGTGTTTCTGGGTTCTGAGTCTTTTTTCTTTTCTCTGGGGGTCGGGTTTTTGGATATTGGATCTTGCCGAGCGGCTAGTGAATCTTCGGCATTCATATATTTCTGGGCTTTGGATAATAGGGCTGCCATGGAGGTCGGGGGGTTTTTGGAGAGGGAGAAGAGGAAATCGGACGATCGCAGCCTGACCATGAAAGCCGTGAGGATGACCTTATCGTCATTCTCCGCTACTTGTAGGGCTTCGGTGTTGAAGCGAGTAACGAAGCTACGTAGCGACTCCCCCTCGGTCTGACGGATGTTGAGAAATTGGGTTGCAGGGCGGCGTTGGCGCTGGGCTCCAATGAAATGGCCGAGGAAGGAGTCGCTGAGATGTTGAAAAGTGGAGACAAAGTCCGCTGGTAACTGACTGAACCACTGTCGGGCTGATCCCTTCAGTGTCACGGGGAAAGCCCAACACATGATCTCGTCAGGGAAGGCATGGAGGATCATGAGAGTACGGTAGGTCTCCAGATGGTCGACTGGGTCTGTCGTACCGTCAAAGGAGTCAATGGTGGGCATCTTGAACTTGGCGGGCAAAGGTTTGTCCCGGATGGAGGCAATAAATGGTGAATTTACCGTGGTAGAGGGTTTATGCTGAATGTTCTGCATGACCCCTTGGAGTTGGAGCTTCATTGCTCAGAGCTCAGCGTCCCAGAGGGGAACGTGGTCCCCATGGTCAGTCAATAGAGGTTGGACGTTGCTGGCCTTCCCTTCAGGGGCTAGTGCTACGACCGACGGGTGTGGGGGTGGTGGTGGTGGATTTATGTGTGGGTGGAGAGGTTGCAAACCTTCCAGGTTGGGTGGATGGAGTTGTGGAGCAGTATGGCTCGGGGTTCTTTCTTGGTTGGGGGGAATATCTAGAGGTGGTGGAGGAGGAATCGGAAGGTTCCTTTGGAGTAAAGCATTTATCAAGGCCTGGTTTTGCCCGGCCATGCGGTTGATGCTGTTGGTAAGCTCGATAAAGTACTGTGGTGGGTTGTTTGGATTGGGGGGGTCGACTTAATGGTCGGCAGCATTATTGTGAGAAGCCATGGATCTAGTCGTGACCATGCACTTTGACGGGTAAGAGAGAGAGGTTGTTGGAACGGGGTCTCCAGCGACAGTGAGCACAACTGGCGCGAGGAGGAAGGCGTTCCCACAGACGGCGCCAACTGATAATGCTGTTCGTCCCAGTGAATAGATCGGGCAAGTCCAAGCTCCTCAAGCCCGCGTCCAAATGATCAAGCCCACCGGATAACCTGCAGGCAAGTTCAACGAGGAACGGGGTAGTCCCCCAGTGAACTCTCCGACGGGCAAGTTAGGAAGAGAAGTAATGTGTAGAGGGAGAGGTTAGGGATAGAAAAGCTTAACCTTTTTCTTGTCTACAATGTTCGCTTGTATCCTTTGGTAATCATTTCGCTATCCCTTCCGACCTGCTGTCCTCGCCGAAAGCCTATGCTGTAGCTTACCTTGCTCAGGGTAAGGGGGGTCCTGTTCCGGCGGGGAGGTGTTGTCGTAATAAATGCTGTGATGGGCTGCATTAATGGTGATGTGCAGTAGCAATAACTTTGCAGATCTTTGTCTGTTGATGTGGCTCGTCCTTCTCTTGCCGTGTGTCTGAATGTCATTGGCTCTTTATGCCATGTTGGACTCCAGCTGTCCTGGACCTCACCAGCTAAGTTATGCACTGGGCTTCAAGTGATGGGCCATAGGTGATTCGTGGCCTTTATGGGCTTATACCTATCAGATTTATAAGATTATTGTCTTTTATTTTTTGTTCCCATTTATATTATGGAATTGGATAATAGTGATGAATTGATAATTTATAAGATGGTATAGAAACATCGAAACGTTACAAAGAGTACATTCTCATGCTTTGTGCTATGCAATGTGCTCTTTTCTGCCTGCACAAGTAGTCATTCACCACAGCTAGCCTGTTGGTATAAGAAAGAAAGAAACAGTGGACATGGAGTCCATCTTCATGTAAGCTTAACCTAACAGTCGAACATTGAAAAGGAGAAGACAGTTCACAATACCCAAAGGTGAAAATATATATGCATATAAAGGAAGGAAGGGGGGGGGGGAGCCCATGTCCTGTGCTGCCGAATTTTGCATTGCAAACAAGATCCAAGAAGCAGCAGGAACAAGAAGCCAGCTGATACCTTATTTCTCTGTTGTAATTATCGAAAAAAATAATAATAATAACTGTCAAGCTTAAGTTGAATCGTACGGGATTAAAGTGCAAAAGTAAAAGCAAAGAGCTATCATATTTTAGCTGGGCCAATAACAATAACATGCACTGACTGGATCCTCACAACAATTCAAATATATGCATATTAAAAACAAGGAACTTTGGAACCTTCTTTATGTACATATAGAATCAGTTAAAATCCATTTATCACAATACGGCTTTTCCTAACATTCTGCTCTGAGAGGGGAAATCCATTTTCTTCCCCTTCTCGATCTCCATTAGAAGCACAAAAAGCTTACAAATACACGACTAAACTATACTATCCTTATTAGATGATCTTCTGTCTTCCTGGCTCTGCATCTTCATGGTCATTTTAAATACACTTAAAATCCTGGGAAGGTATGATGAGCAGAGTGGTTGGCCACTGTGTGATGTTTTTATCAGATTGAACCTTTCAATATTTACTCATGGCCAGTTTAAAAAAAAAAAAAAAAGTTCAAATGAAATGCAAAAGAATAAAAATCTACACAGGAACCACATCAGTGTTTTGACTTTCATCGCACGTCAAAATGAGCCCTTCAATATATGTTGGGAGGAGGCAGCGGATCCACTGACAGCCTGCTGAAACAGGCTGTGTTGAAGGAACAATCATGAGAACATTGTCATGGCGTCTAACAACCCCCATCACGCTCACTGTGCTTCCTTCTTTAATATACCTGACGTTAAAGGATCAGTTGAAATCTGCTATAAGAGAACAGCTCAAGGAAAGTGGGGTGAAACACGCAGAGATCAATCAGCTTCTAGCACCAAGAAAAGCAAAAATCCAAACATAGAGAAAGGATACATACCCAGAAAAAGGGTAAAGAAATTTACCAAGAATGTGTATGGGCAGCCGAGATTAAATTGGTGTATTATGGGGTCCATGCATTAAATGAATTTGGACCATACATAGATGTTTCTGGGAAAATATTACTGCCCAACATATCCACTGACTACAGGTATTTGTTTGTGTGAAGCAGTTAGGTCTGAAATGGGTGTTTTAGGTATACAAGAAATTGTGACAAAACTTCAAAGAGTTGTGTGCTTCATATTCATATATATAATATAACAGTGTAGACAATTCAAAACAGAATATTAGTGGCTTACCCTTCTTTCAGGCGCATTATATGGTCATCACTTGACAGACTGCGGTCAGCAAGATAGCGTACAAAACTTGGAGACAAATCTCTGTTTTCCTTCGTTAAATCAACTGTTATTGTTGGTTTCACAAATGCAGCAACCTTAGCTCCATAGCCTGCTTTTACCAGAGCTCTCAATCCAGATTGGAAGTCTGATATGTAAAAATCAGCCACGTATCTCTGTCCACAAGAGACAAGAAGGCTATTATAGTTATCATAGGACAAGTGTTTTATCCATACATGGTTTGGAAACATTGGCATAGCCAAAGACAGAAACATGATTGCATGGCATATTTAACAGTATTAGAAAAACTTTCAAATAACGACATTACTAATAGGCCCCGTGAATTGAGGGTGGGAGGGTAAGACAGGTAACAAACCTAGGCTTGTTTGCACGAAGTGACTTCCCTTAAGACTCCACCTCCCACTTGCCTTTAGAAAGTATATAACTTACAATAATGCAAACCTAAGCGTTGGCATTGTGGGTGTTTGGGAAGTGGATTTTTATGTAGATTTTTTTAGTTGTAGGATATTATTGGATAAAAAAATTTTGGTGATTGGGAAAATAGATGAGTTTTTTTGTGGTTGGATGTGATGTTTGTGAGAGAAAAAGTGAAACGATTATGGAGTTGGATGTGATATTTTGTTTGGATGTGTTTTTCTTTTGGTTTTGCAAAAAGTTTGTCTTCTAGTGGAAAAATAAAAAAAAAATCCCAAACCCAAGTTCCCAAACAGCACCATTGTTTGCACAAAGTGGTTGCATTTTCACTTGTCGCACCCCAAGCAATGCCCCTAGAAAGTGTATACCTTATCAATAAGGCTCGAGTTTCTACTGAAAATTACCCTTTTAACGATCCCTGTGTATAAGAAACCAAATATTGTAGAGTTGTTATAAGATGGTAGCACTAGGGACACAATAACGCAAAATTCGTTAGTTTGATGCTGATTGTTGGCAGTGCATTGGGCATGCAGCATCCAGGAATGGGACCTTGTGGATTCCTTCTCTCTTAAACTGTAGAAGACTTTACCCCTGGGGGTCCCTATGGTGTACTTATACAAGATGCCCCATGGTTCTTGGCATTAGCCAGATGTACCATCACATTCATAAACAAATTTGAAGTTGTAACAATTTAGGGTTCCAAATAATAAAAACCCTATAGGGATGAATGTGTAAACTATACACTTCTTATTTTTACTTTGATCTTTGACACCCTTTTTAATTTTTGTGCCAAGACCTTGGATGTGTCTTGCGTGTGTCTAGGCAATAGACAAGTGTGTCAAATGTGTCCAAAGCATGCTTGCTTTATTTTTATTTTTTTTTAAAAAAAAATGTGTTAAAAGCATCCTTGCTCTATAAAAAATAAAAAATAAAAAAAATTGGACAGACACAATACTCCAAGAGGCATTGCCGTGCTTCCTAGATCAAATATTGAAACTTCCTACATCGACAACCTTGATGTTTAGGAACTGTCATGAATTCTTGATGTCAACTTCTCTAGATGATTAGATACCGAAGAGCCAATTCAAGGAAACCATGTCAATTGTATGTAATAAAACAATTAGTAGATCATAATTCATAAATGAAAGTAATCATGTTGCCAACAATATCTGGCAGACTGATCGTACCAATTTATTTCCCATTGGCAACAATAAAACCTACATGACTTTATGCAACATAGCGAAACTAATCCATCATGTAACAAGCTTCAGATTGTCAAACAAATGACAAATATCAGATTCGAGGAATGGTGACATAAACTAACCTCTGCCTGTCTACATCCCCATGAGAAGAAGCATTGTTTAGGATTTGCAGATTTGCCACCCCATCCTCTATACTCGTACAATTCGGTAGAAACATAGACACATCTTGGTACCCTCTGGAAAGATGATTCAAGGGGAATACTGCCACAAGTGACAACCTGCATAAAAAAAATATATTTGACAATTAGAAAGGCATCTACAAGAACAACAGAAATTATAAATTCATACGAAAAAAAAAATTATAGAATAAATTAAAGGCAAACAAATTCTGACCCATCATCAAGCCTAGGCTTTTCCCAGCCTCTTCTCTCTCTCAATTTTTTATTTTTTATTTTTTTTTATATAGATTTTTGAACTCTTAACATACACAAGGCATCATGTTTAGGCTACTCCGTCATTTCAATTCAAAGTACGCAATAATTCAGATAATTTCACCACTTGCAAAAGTGTAAAGCCAGTTTAAACGTTTTGATGTAGACTGCATTTTTTTCCCCTGATTTCTTTCAATGCACCAAACCAAAAAAGAAATGTCATACCTAATTCTATCACAAGCAAAAGAAATATGCAATGAAATTCTACTCATTGTCACAAGCAACTTCAGGTCCAATAGAGTAAAATCTTCAAAATTAAGATCTAGTGAGAGTTTGTTATGATAATGTCTTTTAAAGGGGAACTTACACGAGCTCATAATTGGAGAATATTCCATAATGAGCAATTTGACATTCATTAGTTTTTCCTACTAAGGGAACAGCACATGAAGTCGTGAACTATACTGAACACAGCTTGATGATTTACCAGACAGCTTGGAAAATAAGAAAGTAACGACATCATATATGTTTAGACTCCGTCAGCCAAGATAACTTAAAACATCTGGCAACTCAATTTTGTAAATGTAATGACAGTGGCATCACTACGAAAAGTAACAACAAATCCAGGCATCACACAACAGAAAATCATTTGCACTACTCAATATCACAAGACATGTATTTCTTCTGATTTTAACTTCATAGAGTAATTGGCATCTACCAGCTCTATAACTAACTCACAGGATGGAGTAATAGCTCGATAGATATTCCAGACCATATTTAAGCCCAAAATCAATTTAGGGCATGAAAGTTAAATGATATCACTAGATCACACATTGAAGCTCCTCCTTGTCTAGTGTTCTTTCTAACAAGTTTGGCCAATAAACAAGCTTATACATCCATCCACTCACGTGTAGCGTCAAAATATTCTAGTACATTTATAGCAGGTAAAAGAACCTTTCTTCTACAACCCATTCGTAGGTTCATTACCAGGACTCTTTGAACAACTCAAATTCTAAATAAAATTGAACTTGAAAAAAAAAAACTGTCAAAATCTCTCAATTTTATTTATTTAATTATTAATTTTGGAACAACAAATTTATACACTTGGATCAACTGTCTTTCCTTCTAATGATATAAATCTTCATCCTATGGATGCCAGAACAATAAGGAAAACCAATTTATAATATCTTGTCAAATGTTCCTTCTATTTGTCAATAGTAAAACTTAGAGGTAAAGGGGGGAACTGTTCAAGCTCAGACAGGAAAAAAAAAACACAATTATTTTGCAACCCACAAATCCTTAAAAGCTAAGCTAGCGGATCTTCATTTTGCTAGAAAAATGTGAAAACCCAGGAAAATACCTAACTAGCAACCATGGAAGCAACTTTTCCCAGAGAGCATTGTCATCAAAATTTCCCCATGAAAATGCTTTAGAATCTATTCTAGAAGGTCCAAGAATAATGCAAGCCTCGGGTGCAAGTGCAACATTATGGCGTGGCTTAAATCAAACCCATAGTAAAATAAACATAGTCGTCAAACCAAGAATTGCATCATGAATCAAAAAATTAATTTTGCAAATTACGAATCATAAAATTTAACACAAACCATAAAAAACAAATAAAATGACATAAAGAAATTGTACATATGAAAAAAATAAAATACATTGATTTTGACACGTTATATAATAGTTTTTATATAAAAGCATGATTTCCTTAGTCTAATTAGGAAGATATATGTGGGTCCAAATCTCACCAACAATAAAATTATTTAAAAACCATAAGGTCTATTCTCTCTTGACATTCAAAAAACAGACTTGGAAATCTTAAATAGAGCAGAATAAGAAGAAAAAAACAGGTGAAAACCCATTATTTTACAACCTAAAATACTCTTAAAATGTGTGTACATTTATTTATTTAAATAAACAAAAAAAGCAGTTGTGGAATCGTAGGGCCTGACTGACCTAATCATGTCATATTAAATGACATTTATTTTACCAAAATAGAAATAGATAATTTAAGGATGCAAATTACGCTAACATTAAATATCCTTACAAGATGTATTTGATATTTTTATGAGGTTTAACAAGAAAATATTAAGAAAATGTTGGTTTTGAGTGAATAAACGTTCCAAAAAAAGGATTTGACGAGATTTAATTGGATATAAAAACCATCTTATCCGCAAAATAATAACCTATTATGATTAGGTATTAGTTATTTTCATAAAAAATAATCATTAAACTAGTATTATGACATTTTCATTAGAAAAAAAGAAAAGAAAAGAGAGATTGAAATCTATCAAACCCAAATAATTTCAAAAATTACATGAATCATAAAACATTAATCGAATTGTGAATCTAGAGATTTCCCCATCAATTTTATGTAAAATAGAATCACCCCTGGATTTGAGGTGTTTTGGGAAGATTGTTAAAAACTGGCTTTTTAGCTTTTGTGTAAAAAATGTGAGAGGTGATGTGACTCAAAATGGGTTAAAAGCTGGCTTTTGACTTTTTATTTGCTTCCCAAATTGTATTGATTTATGTATAAATCGTGAATCGTAAATTTTTTTATAACAGAAAAAGAAAAAACATTTAGAAGTAATCAGAGGACAGCAAACTAATTCACACACAAGTACAGAATCAGTCCCCCTAGAGAATGCAATAAACCTCACATATGGTTCCCAGAACAAGATTTGAGGACATGTGATAGAAGTCTATACTTAAACCCCTACAGAAGCAAATTTATACAACCTATCTGAAAGCTTTGCTTGCAGAATTAGGTTAATCTCTCCATCACTGCGTCACCATAAACAGTTCTTTGCCACACAATTTCATTTCAGACTTCATACAAAGAAAGTAATCAGAACCACATCACACAGTCAAAACACAAGGTCAAACAATCACACCAAATAATGCTCAACATATACTCATATTCAACCAGGGTCAAAACGGTCATCGAAATACAATGCTATAAATAACCCATAACAGCATTATGTCAGCAATAAACTAACAATAACTAATTAGCCTCCTAAATGAGGCATAGTAATAAGAATTGATAATGACAACTATGAATTGATAATAACTAATATGAATTTTTATATTATTCTCAATACAAAGATAAGACAATTACCCCAGTAACCTTCACATACTGCCCATCAATGGCACCTCTGAGCTCAGCATCAGGGTACCTATTCAAGAACCCTAACAACCCTCTCTTCATCCAAGCACAATTCCACACCACCACCGCCGTCACAGCCGCCACAATTCCCGCCACCACCGGCAAAATCAAAACCTTCTTCACCGCCACCATAAAAAACGCCCCAATCATCGAACCCATCACAGCCACCACCACGAAAACCCACATTACCGGCTTCGACAGCTTAAACCCTAATTTCACATCCTCGCTCAAGTTCGTCACGGCCGAACCGTAAACCGCCTTTCCAGCCGAACCGGCCGGCGGCTCCAGCTGCCCGGACCGGCGACCGGCGGAGGAGCCCAGTGGGCCGGAGGTGATGAGGCCCGTGGGCTGGAGCTGGGTCATCGGGCCGGAGGATTTGGGCCCGATGGGCCCGGAGTTGGGGGCGGATCTGAGGGATCCGCTGTTGTGCTGAGAAGATGATGAGCGAGAGGTCTTGGACGGCGGAGGAGGGTGGTGATCGACGACGGCGATGTCGAACATTTTTCCAAGCTCGCCGGAGTGTTTGATATCGCCGCCGGTGTAGGGGACTGAGCGAGAGCCCATTGTGGGTTGGCGCTCTTTGAGGTGCTCGGGAGGGCCAGAAACGTAGAGGCCATTGCTAAGCTGGTGTGAAGGAATTCGAGTCCCCATTGTAGAGAGGGAGTGAGGAGAGAGAGAGAGAGAGAGTGAGGAGTGGGGGTGTGTGTGTGAGAATGGTGGTGGCGATGGAGATTGGTGGAAAGGACGAAGAGTGAAAGGACGAAAATGGGGCTGGTATTGGTTATAATGACGTGTGTATCCTCCCTCTCAAAAAAAATTATTGTTTGATCTTTGAGCGTCACGTAATCTTACACTACACTAATCATAATTTATTATTATGTTTTTTATTTATCAAACACTCAATATAAATTTATAAATTTTACTTTTTTATTAATTATAACATCATTAAAATATCATGTAACAGTATCCAATACTAATTAGAAAAATATTATAAATTTTAAATAATTTATCAAATTTTTTCTCAAAACTCCCATATATATGAATCTTATATGATATGAGATTTATATAAACTCACATATGTATGAATCCTACAATCCATGTGAAATCCCACACCACATAAGAATTTTAATAAAAAAATTAATAAATTATTTAAAATCCTTAGTATAACTCAATCAATTAATAACTTCTCCTCCATCTGTTTCCTTACTGCAGTACAGTACGTGTGACACTGGGATGTTGACGCAAATCACGTTTTACCGAGTCTTGTAATTTATCTTTTGACAATCATCACATGTTTCTTTGAATTTTTACAATTTGTCTAATAGTTTTTCATCTCCTATTGCGAACCTCATTGGCCCCGTTTGGTGTAGCTATTAAAATAATTTATACATTATAACTTAACAGATTATAGATTATGACTTTAATCAGAAGTTGTTAATCTGTTTGGTGTAGCTGTTGGATTATAGATTTAAGTTGCTGAGTAGTGTTTGTTAAATAAGCTGTGAAATAGCTTTTTCAATTAATTTTTATTTTTTGTTTGTCTACATTTCTCATAAAAAAATAATAATAATAATCTATAGTCCATTTGAGTCTTTTTCTATTTTTAAAAAAATAAAAAATAAAAAAATTTAAGAGTATAACCATAAATTAACATGTCCACAGCAGAAGCTGATAATCAGAAGCAAGGGGTGAGCAGCTTCTCAGAATCAGCTTTTTTGAGTTAAAATAAGCTGTTAGTATCAGAAACTGTTTGAAATAAGTTTAACTAAACAGTCCAAAATAACTTTTTCAAACCATAAGTCAGCTCTGAAAAGCTGAAACAAACACCCCTATTGTGCGGAGTTTGGAGAGGGTGCTATCACCTTAACCCGGCTACATTTTATATATTTTTAGGATATATATTTATTTAGCCAGATTAAATAATGGAGAATTGTAATTTATAGTATTGTTAATCTTAAGTTACATAATTTTTAAATTATTTAGTTGAAATATATATATATACATCATGTTTGTTTATTTATGAGAAATGACGATCTTATTAAATTTTATATTCAGTTAAGATATTATGAAGAAAAATAAATGTTCAAAATATTATTTTATTCTTTTGAATTGTTTAATAAGTAATAACAATATTAAATATGACTTATAAATTTTATTTTATTTTTGACTAAAACTTTTAAAAAATTAAACAAATACAACATCAATAAAAATTTAATAAACATATTTTATTTTTTGGTTTGAGACTTTGTTTAGTTTGTTCTTCAGAAAAAATTTTGGGAAAAATTCTCTACAAACAAATTTTCAAGAGTAATCAAACCAAACAAATTTTTTCAAAAAAAATCCCAAAATTTTGTTTAGTTACCTACTTTCCAAAATCACACACACTCTCTCTCATACACATCAAATCAATCACTTTTTTTAAAACTCTCTTCCCAAAAAATTTTTGCAAAACTATTTCTGAAAAGAAAGCAAATCAAACAAGTTTTCGTACTTTTTATCTCAAAAATTACTCTACAAACACAAACCAAACACACCTTTAAATTTTATTTATTTTTCTAAGTGGAATACATCACATTAAAAAGAACATTAATAAAAATTATAAGTTTTAAAATATGAACTAAATACAAATTAGCTAATACAAATTAGAATTAGCTATCCAGCAATAATACAAATTCAAGTGGACCATATCATAAGGAAATATTTCTGTTTTAGCTTGACGAAAATAAAAATCAAAAATATTTTTTGAATTTTGAAAAATTATTTTTTTTATTTTTTTTATTTTCTTTGCAAAACTAATTTTTAATTTTTTAGAAAGAAAAAAATTTTATAACAAGTTTTTTAAAACCAAACCAAGCATGACATAAATATTTGGAGGGCAAAATTATATTTTTACCAGTTAATCCAGAGGAGAGCTAGTCCAACACTTTTGTATCCCACCTCTCTCCCAAACAAGATAGTCTCACATATGTAGTATTAATAGTCCGTTCGGATTATTAGTCTGACTTATAATTTTTTAACTAAACAATAGACTCATATGTGGACATAAATGTCACATTTGTTTGGCGGATTACGTTGGATGAGATTATTAGTAAAAGGATTGTTAGTGAAGAGATTGTTAATGTGTGGATTGTTAGTGAATGGATTAAGTAAGTGTGTTTGTTTTGATGATAGTGCGGGAGATGGTTAGTGATGAGATTGTTAAATTTTTTTTTATATAAAATAAATAAATAAATTATTTCTATATTAAAAAAAATTAAAACAAATATTAAAATAAATAGGAGCACTTGGTAAAAAAAAATTAAAATAATAAATTTTTTATATAAAATAGACTCAATCCCCTCACTATTTTCCTAATCCCACCTAAAATTCACCCAAACTAATCCCTTTACAGAGGAGGATTACTAAACCCCCTTCACTACTAATCCTATCATATTGTGTTGCATCCAAACAAGGGTTTGGTGGGTTCCACGGATTGCTAATCCAATCCACCCCCAAACCCCCAATTAAACATGGCCAAAGTCTCAATCCTATCCTTTAATCCCTCCAAACAGAAATACCCCCTTATAGCTCACTTGTATATAATAAAAAATAAATGAAATGCAGGCTTTGAGTTCATCTAGGAGTGGGCATTCGTCGAGTTAGGCCAGCACTACATAATAAGAAATTTGGTATTTGTCTAAATCTAACTCGGCCCTAACATTGGGCTTCTACATTTGCCTAAGCTCGGCCTAAAAAATAACTATTAATCCCAAGCCCACCAATCGGGCTATACGTTAAAAAATTAAAATTTCATAATTAAATATAATCACACATTATATTTATTAAATAAATATACTAACATCATTATAAATTGAAAAAATTTGTATATAAATTGAAAGATTTTTTAAATACATTCAATCACACATCACTATAAATGTGAATTTCAATAAAATTAACTAAGATAATTTAGATCCCAACAAAAAATATATTTTTTAATATATATAATTATTTAATTTAATACCAGGCCAAGCTGGATTGAAATATAAATCTCAAACCTAACCCATTAATATATCAGATTGAAAATATTGGCCCAGTCTAGCCAAATAGACTAAAATAACTTTTCCAAGTCCTAAAAAAATAGGGTTGGGCCATGTATGCCAACAGGCCGATGCGCACCCCTAAGTTCACCATTTACCTGTTTAGTTTAAACGCAAAATATATATATATATATATTAAATGAAAATTTTATTTTAAAAAATTAAATGGGTTTGATTAGTTGAAAAAAAAGAGTACAAAATTGTATAGAAATTGAGTTCTACAATATTTTTAGGGTAAATTACACTTTGTCAACTTTATGTTTGGTCATTTTCCTACTTTGGCACTTAAAGTTTAATTTTTCTCACTTTGACCTTTCATTTTTCAAATTCTTTCCCTTGTTCAAAATTAAACAAAAAATGTCACGATAATTGTCACATAACATAGAAAAATATATTATTATATTGAGATTTGAATTTGTGTTAGAAGTGTGAATTATATATAATAAAATATTTTTATATCACGTGATTGTCAATGTGTCATTTTCTATCTAATTTTTAATATAAGTTAGTTTTAGGAATAAAATAATAAAAAAAATTTTGAAACATGAAGAGTCAAAGTGAAAAAAATAAATAAACAAATAAAACTTTAAAGGCTAAAGTGACAGGGACTTAGTCTCCTCGAATACGATAGCCCTACAATTCGGACTGTTGTGATTCTGAATCTGATTTCACAAGTGCAATATGAAATAGATAAACACAAGAGAGTCCAAATCCGACAAATCTTTTGAAAAATTAATTTTTAATCAAAAATGTCAAAAATGGATTGTTTTGCCAGATTTCAGAATCGCCACCTAAATATTTTTGGAAAATTTAGGAAAACTGTGACTCGTGCCAAAGGCCACTTGTCCGTCATCACCAAAATGTCTCGGCTCGGGAACTTAGGTATGAGAGGGGAAGGTCATGAATTGAACACCCCACTCACCCAATCAAAGATCGGCCTCTACTAATCATAATGTGATTTTTATCTACATTATATGCTCTTGTTCCGATTATTATGCTATCTTTACTATGTGATGCATTCAAGTATAGACTAATTCACAAAAGTTCAAATGCTTTAATTTCATATTTGTTTTGAAAAGTGTTTTGAATAAGTACCACCTGAAAAGTGATCTCATATATACATTAATTGAATCATCCCAATTTAAGCAAAAAAACCTTCATCCACAGACATTCAAGAGATATATCAACGAAGCACTTAGCCTCATGGTAAACATGTTTGATATGGAAACATTAACGTACATGCAACATGCTAAAGCAAGAAATGCTTACCTAATAGTCTGAGGCAAGCCAAAGAAGATAAAATAATTAGAAGAAATGATGCTCCTAAACAATGCAATATAACTAATGCAACGCATACAATATGCAAATTATAAGTTCAGCTACTAGCATGGGATGTGAGTCAATTCAAGGCATGCGACAAAGCACGTATTCGAGTAAGGAATTTGAAATTGACATTGATTAATATGTTGAGCCGAACCTTGATGCATGTAAAACAAATAGATGTAAGTCATAGAAAAATGCTAAGGAAAATGCGATGCTACAAGCAATCCATTATAAGCAAGTAAATAAAAGGGAGAAAGAAATGGGGATTGGCAGACATACACAAATTATTACATATTTTGTCACGACCCAAACCCGCCTCTATGGGT